CCCAGCTGCAGATTCTCCATACATAGGGAAAACTGGCTTATCAATTTCATAATCTATCTTGTCCCTGTGCTTTTCTGTGTCCTAATGCTCCCTTGCCCATGCCTTTCAGTACTTAGGTAATAGGGTTTGTGTTCCTGGAGATTGTTTTGGGTATTTTGATCTTCACTGTCAGTGAGGTATGTGAATAATAACTCATTTGATACATATAGAACAAAATGTGCATGCTGTATTTTGTGTCCCCAGTGGACTATATTGGTGAATTTTCTTCTCCTCCTCCTCCTCTTCCTCCTCCTCCTGCTCCTGCTCCTCCTCCCTTTGTGCCTGTGAGGCAGGCGTGGTACCATTGAGCTAAATTCCCAACCCCATGAATCTTCTTTTTAAAATATGTATCATTCTTTATTTCAAATCAAGAGATCTAATTAAAGAATCACTTGTTGACAGGCATTTGTGCATCTTATCATAAGCATTTTTTTCTGGTACTGTAATGAACCCAGAGCCTTTGATTTGAGCTATAGCCCCATCCCTTTTTTAAAATTTTTTATGTTGAAGTAGTGTTTTACTAAGTTGCTGAGGCTAGGCTTGAACTTGTGACCCTCCTGCCTCAGCCTCCCAGAGTGCCAGGATTACAGGCATGTGCCACTATGCCTAGCTATGCAAATTGTGGAGATGTATCCAAGCATATTAGGCTTAGGGAAATGTAGTTTTAGGATTGCTAACTGAAATAAAGACTAAAGGCATTTCAATATGTTATAGAATACATTTCAGCATAGGCTTCGAGTCTATTTTAAGTGGCCATACAGTAGAATATCCATTGTGTCATTACTACAGTCAGCATGAGTAATGAAATTAGCTCTGATGCTGGGGCTTGCTCATGAGCTTACTTTTTTCAATTTTGAATGCTTGCTTTATCAACACTAGAAAATGATCTCTTCATTAGCCTTGTTCATAGAGCATAGGAAGGAAGTCTCTTACCAAGTCAGTCTGGAAAATATATTTGTCTTATGTGTGTGCCGAGGTTAAAAAGCAAGCTACCTTGTAGCTGAAAGAAACTGTTATCTTTCCCTTTGACTTGTCTGATCATTGTTTCAGTGCTTTTTGTTTATCAAATCTCTGTCTTAGAATTTCCTCCATGAGTCAAATATAGCTATGGCATTGCTGTCACTAAATTTTCCTAGAAATCTTGTTGTTGGTGAATTGTTAAGCACCTTTTGGTATCTAATAAACCATATATGTGAGTGATACTACATCACAAAACTAAATGGGCTGTTATAGCTTTTTGTAATGACAAACTTTAGGGCCACAAGCTTGAATCTGAGGTTGTGTTACAAACTTTACAGTTAAATGAAAACCACAGGGATCCCTCACTAAGCCTTTCATGTTCTGTATGAAGAAACCAGTCCAAAGCTGCCAGGCTGACCATCAAACTGCCTGTGATTTCAGATAGTTAACTGCAGAGCCAAGGCCAGAACTTCTCTTTTCTGATTCCCAATGGAAAATATTTCTTCTCATTAATTCCTTAAAAGACATGAAATTCTGAATGTTACATAAACCAGCAACTCTAAAGTACTATTCAAAACATAAAATACAAATTTATCATAAATCTGATCTAAACTGGCAGAAGTGAATAAGGTTTAACTACTGATTTATTCTGCATTCTGAGAAAGGCTCTACTCAGATGACTCAGGTCATTTTTAAAGTAGGAAGGGAATTGTAATGTATTAGCTTTTATGCTCTAAGGTAAGCATGGATTTTTTTCCTATCTTTCCCTCATTACTTTGATTAGAATATTTTAAAATAGCTGTTATGATAGTTGAGTAATTGATTTTTTAAGGAATTTTAGTTGAAAGTTTTAAGAGCTTCCCTATCCGAAGTGTCTTCTATAAACCAACAACAGCCAGGTAACTAGAGAATGTATTTAAAATGCAGAATCTGGTTGGGGATGTAGTCAGTGGTGGAGTGTTTTCCTAGCATGTGTGAGGCCCTGGGCTCCATCTGTAGCACTGATTAAAAAACAAACAGCAACAACAACAAAAAAAAACATAGTATCTCCTTCCTTAGACCAAGACCCTCTAAATCCGTATGTGTACATCTTAACAAGTCCTGGATGATTCCTACACACATTGCAGTTTGAGAATCACTTATTTAGAAGGATAGAAATCTGAAAACCTGACCTGTTTATTGTCTTTTTCTTGCCTCTTCTTCACTTCTCTTAGCCTCTGCCCAAACAACAACAATAAAACCAGCCAGGCTGTAGGTTATAGTTCACTGGTAGAGATCTGGCCAGCTTGTACACGGCCCTGGGTTGGCTTCTCAGCCATGCAAAAATAAACAGAAAACACATCAGTCTGCTTTCACAGGCCAAAAGAAGGATAGGTCAAAAGTGTAAAAGCAAGGGGAGGAAACACATCTCTTCTTTCTGGGATGTCACAGCGGACCCACTGGCTAATGATTTATCTTTGGAATGTTGTTTAGCATCTAGCAGAACTGTGTTGTTTTCCTCTTCTAAATTTCCCTTTGAATCATTCATCTTGGTCCCACAACCAAGATTGTGTAACTCTACCGAGACACGGAGTACAGGAGTTAATTATACAGTGTGGCATTTACAGGGGATGAGCCACGAAGCGGGGACTGCCTGTCCCGGTAAGGACAGAGATCAGTACAGGATTTTTTTGTTGGTTATGTCCCGTGAATAACAGGCAGTGTGAGACAGAGGAGAAACAGCTGTGATGCAAAGCAAAGTCAAACACTAAATCCAGGCCTCCACATACAAAGATGACTGCAGTGCATTTTGCTTCTAGGGAGTAATGAATTGAAAGACAGAGTTGTGTGGTTATTAAGAGTTTAGGTTCTGAGCAAAAACATTCTTGGTTCAAATCCCAGTTCAGCTATTTCTTGGCTATCAACTAGTTATCAGCCTCTCATCTGAAAACATTTGTGCCCACCTCACAAGGCAATTATAAATAGGAAATGAGAGAATCCGTGTACAAAGTATTTAGCACAGTGTCTGCACGGTGTCTGAAACAAATATTTGGTAACTGCTAGATCGTTTTTACGTGTTTACTTGTGATTCTTCAAATGAACTTCCTTTTCAAAGAAGTATAATTGTATGATTTCCGCATCTGTGGCTACAACAAAGACCTGCAACTTGAACTAAGCAAATGCTCTGGACTAAAGCATGTTCACTGATCCACCCTGGGCAGTAAGCACCCCTCTGGGTGTATTAGTGGCAGTGATAGGGAGCATGGGGAAAGGAAACGCACACTCATGAAACCCCTTCAGGCGCTTTGACTTGAGAGAAAGATGAGAAGCACACTTAACATTGGGGGAAGCATCGGAGCTGATCGCAAAGCAACATTTTCATGTGTTGAAAATTACACAGCATATATGAGGCTGTGACTGAAAGGCCACCATCAACATTGATCATGAATGGCATTGGTTTTCCTCCCTTGTCAGAAAAAGGACAGAACTGTTAGGTAAAACTATAGTTTGTCAAACTATAATCGATTCATAAGTTTCTTGATCGGCTCCATACCTAACCTCTTTTAAGCATAGCAGCTTTTGAATCCTACCTTAGAAGCTGACAACCACCAGGGACCAGAATGAGAGAAAGTAATGATTTCATACCCCCAAAGTAGCTGCCAGCCTCAACCCTTGGCTGTGGTTATGTGAAAGCAGAAAGCTCCCCAGTAGTGTAGGATGATTTTATCAGTCTGTGTGGACCTCTTTTATTCTTTCAAAATAATTCAGACTTTGTAGACTATGGTGAAGCAGAGGGAGTTTATAAATGCTCAATGAAAAGGTTGTGGATCAACTGTTAAGCCATTATTCAAGCAGAGGTTTGGAAAGATGTTTCTATCTGTGTACCTGGAGGTGGGTGAATTTGGGCTGAGGAGAGCAGAAGGTGGGCAACAGCAACTGCATTAACACTTTGAGAAAATGAAAAGACCAGATCTGTGGCAGTGGGGTCAGAGGAAAGAGGTGGTTTTCCAAGGGCAGTTGTGAAACTGTCTGTAGGGGACACCTTCAAAAAGGAGGAAAGGCCACCATCCAGGAATAAGCGGGCAGGGCCACCTCTGTATCCAGAAACAAGTGTAAATAAGCATCCAGCACAAAAGGTTAAACGTTGTGTCATGTGAGGGCCACCAAAGCCCTGGCTAAGTTGTCCAGCCTGTGACTCCTTCGGATACGTGGGGCCACACCTGTGATCCTGCACCTGACCAGCATCTAACTTACTTGCTTTTTTTTTTTTTTCTTTTCCACAGCACTCGCATATCCCAAGTCAGCAGTGTTTCCACAACTGGAGAGTAAGTTATTTGGGTTGGGTTGGGCCTTTGTGTTTTGAGGTTATTTTTTTTTAATTCCCTTTCTGCTTTATTAAATAGAAAAAGAAACAATTCTAATGTTGTACAGTACTGGAAGACTAAGATAATGAGCAACCAGTGATTTTTAAGCCGTCTGTGTACAGGCGATAGTACTAAAGTAGGAGTGTTCCGCTTGAGCTTGTGTGAGTGTCTGATTGGAGGCAGCTCTGCCATTTAAAACTCCCAGATCTTTGTTCACCTCATTAAAAATAACGCCAGGGCCAGTTAATGTTTGCAGAGCAGTCCATGTGCTCTGGGAGGCACCTTGCAATAGAGAATGTAATTCAAGTATCAACCGTGACTTTATTTCCCACCCCTTCATCTTGTTGAGCCCACGTTTATGGAGTGCCTGCAGTGTGCACAGTGCAGAGTTAGATGTTTGACCTCAGACACTGCAGTCTTCTTCACAGGGATGCAGGAAGGAAAGCAATGTAGTAACAGCAGCGAGTCTGTTCTCCACTGGGCAGGGCAGGGCTGTGCTGTGTTAGTTCTGTCCTATGTGTCTTTCTCACTTGCACATAGACTCCAAACTTCCTCTTCTGCCCTTGCCTATCTCTCTTCCTGCACTGCTCAGTGCCTTGCAGTCCCCTGACCTTCTCTTGATGGACTAAACTGAGCTTATTTCTGCCTCAAACCCTCGGCAATGCCTGTATCTCAGCCTGCCTAGTTCTTTCTTGCCATTCACTTTTAGTTCTAGTATCATTCTGGGGAGAGCTATCCCTGACTCTCCCCTCCCTCCCCAACCCTGCCCTAGGTGTTAGAGTGTGTCCCACTGTTGGGCATTCCATTGCTGTATCTGCTTATCATCGGTCTTGCCCTACAGGAATGTAAATCCTATAAATGCAGGAGTGTGGCCTTTGTGTTCATGTGATCTCCCTCACACAAGAAAAGTGTCTGGCATATATTAGGCGCTAAGTGTTTGTCAAATGACTGAATGAGTGGTTCCTGGCCCCAAGACCTTTTTTTTTTTTTTTTTTTTTTTTTTTTTTTTTTTGGTACGGGGAATTGAGCTCTGGTCCTTGAGCTTGCAAGGCAGGCCATCGAACCGCTGAGCTAAATCCCTGGCCCTCCAAGACCTTTCCATCACTCCAGATTCTCTTCCTTTCTTGCTGGGACAGGGGTGGGCTTTTGGGAAGCATCTCTCCTTGGCAGGGCAGGGGTAGACAGTGAGGAGGGCGTGCTGCGATAGGAGGAAGAGAAGGATTAGAAGAAGCACTGATTGGAGTGAATTTGGATCTAAAAGAATGGATTTTCTCTTTCTTGTTGGGTGAGGAAGCAGGCAGAGGGCAGGACTGACTTCCTTAGCTTTGCCAATTTTGAAGAGATTCCAGAACTCTGCAAACACTGGCACATTCCTTTGTCATTTCTTAATAAAGTTTCCATCTTTTATATCTTACATAGTTTGGGAAACTGTAAATTAGTTTATGTGCACATATTAATTTACATAGTCCATATTGTAACACTATTAGATAATCTTGGACTACTTAGAATATAGATTAAAAAATAAAACAAAATTTCTTTTTTTGGTGGGAGGGCAGTGAGAAACAAGGTCTCACTACGTGATTCAGGCTGGCCTTGAACTCACTGTGTAGCCTAGACTGGCTTCAAAGTCACAGAGGTCCTCCTGCCTCAGCTTTCCAAGTGCTGGGATTACAGGTATGTACCACCCCTGACTAAAATAAAATTTCTAGTGCCCAAGTTAATGATGAGACCATTCTTGTTCACTGTATTATAATGTTTTAATAAAAGTTGAAATAACTACCAGTCTTATCATAAAACTACTTTGGACAGCCTTAAATTCTCAAATCCTGCCTAAAGAACAGCCCTTTTCAGTCTAAGCAATTAAAAATATATGTGTGATTATTTTTCAAATGAAGAGAAACATGCTTTGAGAGGTGTATTATAGCGGCACAGTTTGTAATAGCTAAAACTTAGAAACAGCCCATTTGCCCATCATTTGGAAACTGGATAAAGAAGAGGTGGTTTTTCTATAAAATGGAATACTACTCAGCCATAAAGAATGAGAAAGTAGATTCATTCATAGGTAAATGGATACACTTTGAAGATATACTCCTAAGTGAAATAAATGTCACATGTGTAAATACTGAATAGTTTCTCTGGTGTGAAAAACTATAATAGTACTCAAGATCCTAACAGGATAATTAGCAATGTGAAATAGGAAGAAAAGGACTAAAGGTATAGGGACAGTGAGAAGGACAGGGAAAGGGGAAAAAGGAAAAAAATACAAGAAAATGTAAAAATGGAATTAAAGTGTTTGTAGGTGGGGAGGGGAGGAGGGCGTGAATTTTTTTAAGGGGAAAAAATAAGAACCAAGACCTGTCATGTAGAGGTACAAGATCCCAGTAATGAATGTAACTGTACTGTATACCTAGAATGTACCAATAAATTCAATTTAAATTAAAAAAAGAGTCTTCAAAGGTAGCTTATTTTAGAATTAAATGGCATGATGATAAGCAATATTTAGACACATAGGAAGATTCTGCAGCTTTTAAAGTGATGCCATTGTATCATCCTGTATTCTTTTCAGCTCTCTGCGCTAACCTGCTTTCCTCAGTTTGAACAAGTAAGCTGTCCTTCCAACTGGAGTATATTTTGGGGTATTTACTACAGCATCCGTTTTGTGGATCACAGTTTACTCACTAAGAGCTTTAGAGAGATGATGTCGTGTTGTCATGAGGTGTAATTGTTCTGACAAGCTGGGGGAGTTCCAAGTAGCGATACTCCCTATATAATTGTATTTAATGGGATTCTAAATGTGTAATAGATATCCTAAAGCTGTTTGTGCCAGTTTGCTTGGTAAATCATGTCAGCATCCTCTGCAGAACCGGTGTGGAATCCGGAGGGAGCTTGCCTTTGTAAGAATACGTTTGCTATTATTCTACAAGGAAGGAATCTTTCTTCCTTCTGCCTTACATTCAAGGACCCTTCTTTCCTGACTATTTCATAATTACTGCTAGACGTACTGCGAGCATTTCAGTAATTCTAGAGTCACAAAGATGAGAGGCACAGTTCCCAAATTCCTTCAAGTTAGCTTTGTTTTTAATGCAAGATGCAAGTATCTTTAGATTCATGCATCACACTCCCTGTGCTCATAGGAAACAGGTATTTCCGATATTTGGGCATATGTTTTTGAAGGAAATCACTGATAAACTTGATTGCTTGAGTGACTCTTCATTTTATTTTGTTTCGTAACCAGACTCTTAGAAAGAACCATCCGGACAGCTGTAGAACAGCATCTTTTTGATGTTAACAGTTCTGGAGGGACAGGCCCAGAAGATTCCGAGTCCGGAACTTCGTTAGCGTCTTCGGCCGCCTCAGCCAGGCAGCGCCGTCGCCAGTGCAAGGACCAGGCCGAGGCTGGACATGGCAGAGAGCAGTAAGTTGGCACAGCGATTCTTGCCTGAGATTTCTCTGCTCTGCTAAAAATACACGGCTAAATCCCTCACTGGGTCGTAGTCACACCTCCCGCTCCTCTCCCTGTTCAGTATTTAGGTTACAGCTTGAAAAGTTTACAAGCTGACCATTCACAGCTCGGCTGACATTTAGAGACTCGCAGGCGATTGGTCGGTACCTCAGTTTCACTGCGCTGCTCCATGTCTGTGTCTGGGCTGCCTCCTGACTGTCTTGACCTGGAGATCCAGAGCCAGGGGAGGAGACGGTTGCTATCTGCCTTGTGGGAGGCAGTTTTTCCTTGCTAGTTAGCATGGTTAACTGCTAAACTAGTTTATTAGTCAGCAGATTTCCCCATTATACTGACTTGACGAAATACTAGAATATCCAATACTCTGACACTTGGTTGTTTTAGTATAAGAAAGTTAAGTCTAACCAAAGAAGGAAAAGCTTGTTCTTTATTATTTTAATAACTAACTGTAACTCTCTCTCTCCCCCTCTCTCACCCTTTTTACCCCTACTACCAAGCTGTCCACCCCCAGCTACTTTAAGAATTCTTCCATCACGAATTTCAAGAATAATCTAATAGTTCTATTCTCCCTAAAAAACATTTGGCAAAATGCTAGTGAACTCATATTAATCATGATTTCAGATGCCTAATAAAATGATTTTATATAGATAGCCAACTGTATTTACACTTTTTCCCTGAGAGTTCCAGCTTATTTTTATTCATGATAGCTTTTCCCTCTAAATATCACAAGGCTAAACAAGACCCTAGTCCTCCTTATTCTTTTTACCTAGACTCAAAGTCTATTATCAAAATCTTTATTTTTAAAAATTCCTTTTTGCTTAAAGAAAAACATAAAAATAGTATAAGTAAATTCTGTAATGTTAAGGACTATCTTAACAAATATAATCTTAGAAATAAGGCAGTGTCAGTGGTATAGCTCATGACTTTACAAGTGGCCTGTTTGGTACTTTTCTTTTATTTGTTTGTTTGTTTGGTTTTTTTTTTTTTGGTTTTTGAGACACATGATGTAGTTGAGACTGACCTAGAACTCACCATGTAGTCCAGACTGGTCTCAAACTCACAGTGATCCTCCTGCCTCAGCCTCCCAAGTGCTGAGATTACAGGCATGCGCCACCACGCCCAGCTTGTTCAGTACTTTTTAAAAAATTGTCTTGAAGCTGGTGAATATAGTTATAATATTCCATTTAGAAAACAGAAAAACTATAATACAGGAAATACGTAGAATTAAAATTTGCTACTGCCTGGGGTTTTAGAAAGCATTTAGGATGATAGTTCATGTTCTGCCTATATCTTATTATACAGCAAGTAGAAATTATTCACTTAATTCTATTCTTACCCTCTGCCTCATTTTTTGCTACACAGTATGAGGCTATACTTTGAATTTTTAGAATACTCCTTGTGTTACAACATTCTGCTTGCCACCCTCTTTGTTTGGACAGAGGGTGAGCAGGTGTAGTGGGGAATAGTACTGTGCGTGATAACAAGTACCCAGAATGGTGGTGTCAGTGGCAGGAGTGGGTCATTAGTGGCAGCAGGCAGTGGACAGCAGAGCTAAGATAAAAAATGGCCAGGAGCCAGAAAGGGCTGAGAAATTCGAACATAGGCTCTCCTCGCAGAATGTGAATGTAGCATTTCTCAAGTGTGAGGAAGTTTCTTTCATAAGTGTCTTGATTGTATTTAAGTAGCAACATGAGGGGGACAGGAGGAGGAAGAGAATGGTAGAGACTGACCGCCGATTACAGACTGTCGCCCGGGAGCTCTGGCCTTGCCCTTGAAATGAGGTGCTTCATCACTGCTCATCCGGGTTACTCATCTGGTCACATCACAGGAGGCGTTCAGGAAGAGGATCTTGGGATGCAAGCAGTGCTGAGCTCCTGCATGCAGCCAAAGTGACTTATGCACAGTCTCACCACACCCTTTTCCCTGGTGTGAGGTCTCGGGTTCAGAAGTCCCTTGCACAAGCTCCTTGTGTGCCACCCTGGTTGTAAGTTGCAGCCCACGCAGCCTGCCTCACTGGGTCACAGTCGTGCCTGGATCGTCCTCCAGCTCCCAGCCCACGCTGAACAGCTTCTCTCTTCTCCAGATCTTTTGGGGAGCAAGGTCCTTATCTCTCCAGGCCCAGAGCCGCCACTTGTGGTGACCAGGTTTGGCCTAGGTCAGCCATCCATCCTTTTCCCTCCAGCAGGGAACTGTGCACTCTCTGCCCCTTACTTTCCTTCCCTGACCTGTTTCTTTCCAGTCCATTCTTTGCCTTTCACTCACCTCCTTTTAACATGTTCCAGCACCTCCAGGTTGAGCTCAGATTCCTCTTTTAACCTTCTTCCTTTCAGTGACTTGGAAACGCCACCTGGAAGGCCCTCTGCAGTATCCCCAGGAGTCATTAACATGATAAATTCTGAGAAGGTCAGGAATAATTATTATAGTTTATAGCAAGTAAATGCTTAGACATAATTAATTCCGCTAAGATTTGCATTTCTGCTCCTGATGAAAAAATAAGAAAAGATGAAGCTAGACCTTGTATTATTCTATTCAAAATGATTAGTCTTATGGAGTGGTTGAAATGTGCTTCAAAAATAGACATTCATTTGTTTTATTATCTATTAGTTTTACCTCACAATTTACAGCTACAACCACTTAAAAAAAAAAATCCTTACCTGGCATGGTGGCATACTACTGTAATACCAGCTGCTCAGGAAGCTGAAGCAGGAGGATCACAAGTTCTGTCCCAGCGTAGGGCAACTTAGTGAAACTCTGTCTCAAAATTTGAAAAACTAAAAAGCTCGCAATGTAGTTCAGTGATGGAGAGCTTGCCTAGCATGCTTGCGGCCCTGCATTCAATCCCTAGTACTGGAAAGAAAAAACTTGAAGCCAGTGATGGCCATCTCCAGGTCTGATAAATGTGTCTATAAAGTCTCACTAAAGCCATCACAGCAACTTCTTGAAGTAAGTAATAGTAAAGATAGACTGAAACTGTAAGTTATTATTCTTGGTGCAAAGGATTCGCTATTTGTTTTAATTTACAGGAAAATAATAATACTCATTACTTGCTACAATAGAACTTTAAACAACCTATCATATAAAAATTCAATAAAATTCAGTGATTTTTTTCAGCATTAATTGAGTTTATTGGTACATTTTAGGGATACAGTACAGTTACATTCATTGTTGGGATCTTGTACCTCTACATGACAAGTCTTGTTTCTCATTTTTTTCCCCTTGACCCTGCCCTCCCTTCACCCCCTCTCAGTGATTTTTTTTTTTAAAAAATGCCATCTACCAGTGGAAAAAAGAAAATGTATTTATACACAATGGAGTACTACTCTGCCATAAAGATAAAATTGAGGTAAATGAATGCAACTCAAGACCATAGTGAATACATCAAACACACTTTTAACTATCACATGGGTTCTCATATATAACATATATATGATATATGATATATATATCACATATATATGATGTAGCTATAAGATAAAAATGTATATATATGGAGAGATCTTTTTCAGATGGATGGGAGAACAAGAGATGAGGGAGGGGAAGGGGATTAAAAATAATTAGAGGGGGAAAAGGATGAAAATAGAGCTTTTGCAAATGGGAAAGGGGCCAAGAGTTGGAACAGGGAGAGAAAGAAGGTGTAGAGAATAAAAAAATAATAAAGAACTAGGATCTTTTAGGAACATGACCAACTCCTCATGACAAATGTAATCATTATGTACTGCAAACATGTACTGAAAAAAAACTAAAAACTATGCCATTTACCAATAGACGTGATAATTCCCCAAGGAAATTTTCTGATGGAAATATTGTGGAATCTGATAGGTATATGGAAATATGTTTTGATAAATTGTCTACTTCCATGATTAAAGAAATTCATAATGACGTTTAATGCACAACATTTGTTAAGTGAGAGGGAGTTTTGAAAAAAGAAGAAAAAACACAGAAACAAAGCTTGTAAATAGGAGTGGAGGGGTTGAAGGGAGAGAAGGGGAATGGAAAAAAAGGCATGGAAATACGTCATGCACGGGTAGGAATTCCCAATCATGTATAGGATCATAGTATATACCTAAAATATACCAATAAACTTACTGAATAAAATAAAAATAAAAAGATAAGTGAGGATGATTTAATTTCCCAAAACACAATGAAATGGAGAATTGATCTAAATGTTTATTTGTATATCAATATCACATTAAAATTCTGCAAAGTTAAAAGAAAAACATACCATGTTAGGGGAATAAATAATAGTTCAATACTGTCGAAATATTAGCTGTGTAGATAGGATTGAGGAGGAAACCCTGAAAAGAAAAAAAGCTAGGAATAAAACCCTGGCAATTAAAATGAGAGGCCCAGAGATCTATGTCAGGTCAGATCTTTTATATTCAGTTCTGTGATGTCAGGTACACTTGAAATGGTCAGATGGGGCAGGAGGGATCATGTCCTCTGCTTCTGCCGTGAGGTAGAGCACTTGGCCGAGTCACAGCAGTACCCAAGAAAATGAAGGCTTCTGGAGAGAAGAGCAGGATTCCCTCACATAAACAGAGCCGCACTGTCAGGTTTTCATATGTATTTTAACACAGTGTGTTCCAACCATTCATTTGCTATTCCAAATGGTTATAAAATAAACTTTTTCATTTGATTTTCAAAAATAATTTTTAACTTCTGCATCTATCTATTTGGGCTACCATAACAGAATACACAGAGTGGGTGGCTTAAACAACAGAAATTTACTCTCTCAGCTCCTGAGGCTGGAAGTCCAAGACCAAAGTGCCGCAGGCCTGGTTTCTATAGGATGGCTTGCCTTGGCTCGCAGGCTAGCTTCTTGATGTGTCCTCATGTGGCCTTTTCTGTGTGCATGCCTTCCTGATGTCTCTGTCTTAGAAGCACTGAACTCCTGTTCAATGAGGGCCCTACCCTGATGACCTCACTTGACCTCGATTCCTTCTTGTCTCCCAGTGCAGTCACGTTGGGTGGGAGGGCTTCAACATAGGCATTTTGAGGGGCTACAACTCGGTCCAGCATAGCTTTCATGCAAGAAAGAACCTCCATTTAAAATTGGACACGTACATCGGTAGTTAGAAAAAGTACAAAGAGTGATCAAAAGATAGAACTTGAGTAATGAAACAAGGAATTTTGAGTTTAACACCAAACCCGTGGGCCACCTACGGAGAGCCCTGGTCTGGTGCGTGGAGGGGAGCAGTGTGTGAGGGGCACAGATGTGTGTCTGTCCTGGTTAGGTTTTCTGCTTGGCTTCAGTTAGTTTACACAGTATTTCTCATACATGTGTATAACTATTTAATATATTTTACCAAATACATACATTGTTCACATGAACAGTTATATCAAATTAAATATGTATAGCTAAAAATTACTAAAGATAGTACAACTTTGAAAATATTATGATAGTACTTAATTTATAATTTCACCTCTGTTATAGCCTAAGGATATGAATTTAGATTGCATAATAAATATGTAATGTTATCTTTCATTTGGGGATGTGGTTGAGCTGACAGTAAAATATGGCACCTATTTTTGCACTTTCAAACTCATTTATTTCAAGATAACAGTTTCCGGGTGTGGAGGAGGACATTAGCTCAGTCATAATGCATGTGAGAATAAATCCCATTCATTTCTTCCTTTCCAAGCCATTTCTTTCTTTCTTGAGCTATTGTATAGTTTATTTTTTAAAACTTTGCCAAGTAGTTTAATTTTGTGAAAATCTCCTACAGGAATGTTTAAAGTACTTTTTAAAACGGTTGAAAATATTAAGTGAATTAAATTCTGTATTTATGACATTTCTACTTCTGGTAAGCTTACATCTTGGAAAGTAACAAATCCATATTTCAGTTAAAATGCTTGCTATTACATACTTTTATTAATGTATGATTTCTACCAAGATTATCTAATTCAGTAGGATTTAAATGCTCATATGTTTTACTCTACTAAAATGTCTAGAATTTGGGAAAATAAATGTTCCCATTCTAGAGCAGACATCATATTTCTTTTTCAGATGCTATATTAATTTATAATATTAAAATCTTATTGTGTACCAAAATTATACATATTAATAGTTGTTATGAATAATGGAAAAATCTCATTATAAATTTGTACCATTTTCCCTGTGTGAATGCAGATTACTTCTGCTAAAGTACAAAAGCTGTCTCCGGTGGAAACACAGTCCTTGCCAGTTTGCCCCAGGAAGAATGTCCCTTCTGTTGTGCTGTATTTGCCATCAGGTACCCACAGGAGTGGCACTGAACCGAGATTTTGTTCATTTATCCACCTACAGGCATTCCTCAGACTTGCTGTACATATGATCGGCACAGTAGCAATATTATAAAACGTCCTTTCACCCTTTAAAATAAAATTGTTTTTTCTTCAATTCCAGGGGACTTATCAACAAAGAAAATATTCCTTCTGGCTTCAACAACCTCGATGAATGTATTTTGAATATTCAGGAAGTAGAAAAAATACATGAAAACACTTCTGATTATATTGGAGAAAGGAGTAAGCCTAAACGTCAGAAATCTAGTTATAAACTTTCTGAGCTCAATGAAAATCAAGATGGTCTTGTGGTAAGTGAATATTTTTATCGGATTTTTTTCTTGTAGCCAGTTAAGGAAAAGCATTCTCCTCTCTGTTCTTTGATTTATAAAAGAAATAAAAGTAATTTCAGCCTTGAGTTCCACAGAATTTTAGAATATGAGCTCCAGGGCAACCTAGAGCTGCTTACTTATTTTCATCTGTTTCTCTTTTCTTTCTTTGTTGTTTTGTTGTTGTTGTCATTTGTTGGTACTGAAGATTGAACCCAGGAAGCACCAAGTAAGATCCCTGGCCTTTTCAGTTTGAGACAGGGTCTTCCTAAATTGTCCAAACTGGCCTTAAATTTGGGTCATCCTGGAGGAGCCTGGATTACAGGCATTGGCCAACATACCCTGCTGTATTGGTTTTTAGTAAATATAAAAATTAAGGCTGATAATCGAGGATATGGCTCAGCACTAAAGCACTTGAAGGAAGTCTCTGGGTTCAGTCTCTGACACTGAAAAAAATAATCTCAATAATAATGCTAAAAAATATGACATTCTGCCAAAGGAACAAGGAGCAGCACACACTTTAATTTCCATATAATTTAAATTGGTCTGATTTTTATCTTTTCAGCATTTTTACATTTTATTTTTGTTTGTTTTTGTTTTTTGGTACCGGGGATTAAAATCAGGTCCTTGCACTTGGGAAACAGGTGGTGGAACCACTGAGCTAAATCCCTGGCCATACGTTTTACTTTTTGAATTAAAATTGTTTGACATTTTTTCTTATTTTTCACCATTCCATTTATTCTTAAAAAATGAATGAATGAAATGGAATACTACTCAGCCATAAAGAATGAGAAATTCGATTCATTCATAGGAAAATGGACACATATTGAGGATATACTCCTGAGTGAAATAAATAAGTCACACATGTGTAAATACCAAATAGGTCCTCTGGTGTGAAAAACTATAATAGTACATAAGATCCTAATGAGATCATTGACAATGTGAAATAGGAAGAAAAGGGCTAAAGGTGTAGGGAAAGTGGGAAGGGTAGGGGAAAGGGAATAAGGGAAAAGAAAAAAATATGAGAAAATGAAAAAATGGAAATAAAGTGTTAGTAAATCGGGAGGGGAGGAGGAGGTGAAGGGAGGGCAGGGACAAGGGGAAAAATGAGAACCGAGACCCGTCATGTAAAGGTACAAGATCCCAATGATGAATGTAACTGTACTGTATACCTAAAATGTACCAATAAATTCAAAAGAAAAAAGAAAAAAAATGAATGAATGAATTTATAGCAAAGTGAAAGAACATATAAGGAAAGAGGAGCAAGTGTCTTCATCTTCAGAAATATCTTTATGTTCAGGTCAGTTTCAACTTTATACTGTAGGAGGTATTTTTTTGCAAATTAATCAGAAGCAAAAAAGACATTAATCACTTATCATTATCTCAGCCTTGAACCTTAGTTTAATTTGATAAATAATTCCGTGTTTCAGTCAACATTTGTTCCATGTAACTACTTGAAGTCATCAGTCCTTTACGTTCATCCTTCAGATTCTCTGAAAAGTGAAAACCAAAATTTTATAATTCTTAGTTTTTTAATTAGCAGTGGAGGATAAATTTTATAATATAACATGAACTGATGACCTTACTTAACAAAAGGCAGTTTTACTGTTTGACGTGAAGGTTCTCTGGTCTCCTCTTATCTCTGACCGGTCTTCAGCTCTGTGCTGCATTTTCTGTGCATTCGGCACACATTACAGCTACTTTTCTTCCCACTTTCCAGTTCTGTGACTGCTCAGACACAGTTCTCAGCTTTCACCTGTGTGCAACATACACAAAGGCAAATCTAGGAGAAAACATAATGGAATGACTTCCCCTGCCTCCCAAATGTCTTGTTATTTTGTTTCTAGAGATAAAATGTTAACTAGAATGGTCAGAAATAATCATCCTCCTTAAATTTGTGTCTCGTGGAATTCTCAAAGAATCTAACCTTTGGAAGGAGTCATTGCACATTAACTACATTTTAACAGTGATGAACTGATGACATAACTTTGAAAAGTTCGGTGGTGGTTTTGTTTTGTTTTGTTTTGTTGTTTTGTTGCTGCTGAGGATTGAACCCCAGGCCAGGGCCTTGCAAATGCTGAGCATGGGTGTCGATATTACACTGAGCCATATCCCTAGCCCCTGAACAGTAAATTTTCAAATAAATGATACTGACTTCATTAATTCTTATTTAGCCCGTGACTTGCTTATTTGCCAAAGAGATTTATGCTGATTAAAAGTCTCAGCTTGAAAAAAAATGTACATTTTGAATCCTTTTTTCCATGAACTTAATGTTTTTTCCCCACCAGAAATACTGTCTTCAGTTCGCTGGGTGGTAAAAGTTAATAGAAGTGGAAAAACACATTTTTTCCTCGGGACTTGTGCTTGACTGACAAAACCATGGACAGAGACCCTGTTGACGCACTCTGGGCCGCAAGCCCCTCTTCCATTCTGGTGTTGTGAGTGTGAAGGCTTTGCTCACTCAGCTGCCCGGTTCCGTATTCCCACAGAAGAGTGCCATGGACCCTGGCTTTGTTGCGATGAATAACTTAAACCCTACCAGTGTAACATGAGAGAAAGAACTTCCTTATCTGTGTATTCTCAAAGATCTTTTCTAACTGTCATATTCTATGAATTTTAAAATCTAACCTTGAAGGTAACCACCACAAAACAAGAGTCAGGATTTGTAACAATGACTGGTATTTAGATCCTAAACTTGTTATGCATCTTAACTTCCTACTCATTTTTAACCATTTAATTTTACTTTCCCCAACCCTCCTCCAAAACCTTTTCTAACCCCATTCCAAGGCCAAACATTTGTTTTTACAGCTGAAAGAGAGGAAGAAACAAAGACAGTGAAGAGAAAAGTTGCATACATAGTTCGAAACTTTCTTTGTGCCCAAAAATATATTATATCTCGGGGATATAATAGTGTGAACAATAGGCAAAAATTCTAGCTTTCATGGAACTTACATTCTAATGGGGAAGCAGACGGTGATTAAGATAAATAAATCAAGCATAAAGTATATGAGATAGCGATGACTTCTTAGAAGAAAAGCACAAAATGGTGACAGGAATATTGAGGGGCAGAGGATGCACTTAGTAGATTGATCAGAGAACTCCTCCCCCAGAATTTGGCATTTTGAGTGTAAAGACCCAGAGAACGCAAGGAAGCAAACCACTGAGAGAACCGCAGGGCTGTGGCCGAGGCACCATTGAACAATCGGGAAAATGTCAAGAGCACGGAGACCAGACAGGGGTGGGGGCACAGGGAAGAGGCAGCGGGGAAGGAGAGGAGTTGAATCAGGGCCTCCAGCACTCATGGGGAGGATTCTACCCTTACTCTGGGAGAGGCAAGAAGCAGGCAGAGAGTTCTGGGTGGAACAGCAGTCTGGTTTCCTAAATTCCATGGGACTGCTGTGTGGAGGACTGACAGAAAGTGGGGCAACAGGGAGACCAGTTCGGGTACGCTTGCCATTTCTGGGTTTGAAGTGGTTTGAGCTAAGCTGATAGCAGAGGCAGTGTGCGTGGCTTTGCAGAAGGCTAGTGTTGCCGCTTAATGGAGCTAGGAATGGCATCCTGGGTTCAGATTTGGGCTTGCCAAGAAAGAGCTGCCTGTTAGACATCTAAGAGGAGGTATCAGAGCCTGGAGCTACAAACACGCACAATCAGCATGGTAGATGACGCTCAAGGCAGTAGTTGGAGAAGACACCCAAGGGAGCAAGTATAGGTTGGAAGAGTGGTCAGGGTGTGGGCCCTGCAGTGTGCCACCATTGAGAGGTGGGGAGATGAGAAGCCAGCAGAAGAGACCTAAGAACAAATGATAGAAAAAATGGAAGAGAAATGAAGTTTATTTGGTATTTTAGAAGCCACATAACTAGGCCAGGGTGATGGTACTTGCTTGTAACCCCAGCAATTGGGTGGCTGAGGTGGGAGGATTGCTACGAGTTCAAGACCAGCCTGAGCTATGCAGTAAGTTCAAGGCC